GACACAAACTATAAGTCAAACATATTTGAAAAGATCTGGCTCAAACTTCACATTTACCTTCTCACGAGTCTTTTCCAGAAAAGTAAGAGCCACATTAGGATCTAGAAAAGAGAGAACAAAGTCAGAAGAACCACCAACAGAGTATCTTTACAGATTAGTTTCGACCAACCAGGACATTTTTAGGTGGGATAATCTTTAGGTTTAGACCATAAAATACAAAACTTAGAATTTTACATTTTCTACTGAAATGCAAAAGTTCAAATAACCTATACTTCAAGATCATTTAAATTACCATTAGGATCTATTCCTTTATGAAACAAAGTGAGACTCACCAGTCATCTGTCTAACTACATGAAGAATGATTTCTACCAGGGACAAAGGATTCACCCTGAAATAAAAACCACATCTTTGAGTGTCAACAAATATCAATGCATCCATTTTCAAAAACAAAAACTGACAAAAGAGTTTTACCTGTGTTCAAATTCACTGATGAAGTTTTCATAAAGCTGTAGAACCAAAACATGGAGAGTAATTACAGGACGTCTTTCACTCGGCAGAAGCAAAACTTCAGACACTACCGTGATGCCCATCACGCAGCAGGCATTGCGTAAATGTTTGCTGAATGACAGAAGACCCATATTGGGGCTTATTAAGTTCACATAAATGATCACCAATCAATTACTGAAGAAAGCTATGGTTTTTTTTTTTTTTCTATCTTTGGGAATTAGAACCCTGCCCTGTGAGAATCTCCCGAAGACCAACTTCTCTATTCGTCCTCCAAAGTATGCTGAGTAAACAGACTATCAGTCTGAAAGGTTCACTAACCTGACAGAGGTCAGAAGGTGGCAGGCTAATTACGTCTCATTATCAAATAGCTTGGCCATTCGGCAAACATTTGAGCACTTACTCAGACCCTTTGCTAGGCACTACAGACAGAGAATGTATAAGACAAAAGCTGAGCTTTTAAGGAGCTTCTGGCCTAGTAGAGAAGAGAGACTTGCAAACAAATAAGTGACAACACTGTGAGTTAAAAAGCAAAGAAAAAAGCACATAGCTGGAGCAGCCAATGAGAGAGGTTGCAAATATTCTGCTATGAGTAGAAAGTGATTTAAAGACAAGAAGCCAAAGAAGAGAGACGAACAATTATGAATTATCCATAACAATGATACAGAACCTTAGGGAACAAATATTAAGACAGCTCTAATTTATCATTTTCCCACATATTCCAGAAGACAGCATGCCCAGCAAAATCTCCAGACTTACAGACGATTACAAGTTCCTTTGAGTAGTAAAATGTCAAACTGGTAGATATAAACCACAAGAAAATCTTAGAAGCCCAGATGGTGGAATAACAAAGTGGTAAGCTTCACTGTGAGCACATATAAAGTAATGTATTCAGGGCAAATAATTCAAGCTACCGTTATGAACTAGCTTGCAGTTCCAATGCATGAATCAGTTCCTCTGATTCATCCAGAATCCAAGAGAAAGACAACAAGGAGAGATGTCAGGAAAGACTTCAAAGAGTAGGCTACCAGTGAACAAATCTGGGGTGGGGGTGGGTTTGTCAGGGAATCTGGGAAAGGCTGGGGCAGAGAGTGTATTTTTCTGTTGACAAAATTCTAGAAGTGCTCTATTACAGAGGCAGCATGATACTAAGCGGCATTCCCCCCCCAAGCCTCCCGTCCCCCAGCGAAGCACATCTTCCACACTGCCAGGACAAAGTGTTCGGGCAAACAAGCAGCGCCAGTGGGGGAGAGGGAAGAGGAGTGACGGCAGTTATAACAGTTGTCCACCTTCCCTGGTGGTCCAGTGGCTGAGACTCCGCGTTCCCAGTGCAGGGGGCCCGGGTTTGAACACTGGTCAGGGAACTAGATCCCGAATGCTGCAACTAAGAGCCCGCATGCTGCAACTAGATCTCGCACGTGGCAACGAAGATCCCTCATGCCCCAACTAAAACCTAGCGCAGCCAAATAATTAAAAAAAAAAATCTATAAACAATAAGATACAGGGGCATGCTAAGAGAGAGCATTTTAGGTTGGGATTTTAGAAGAAGCCAGAATGTCTGTGTTTGAATCCTCTTCTGTCACTTATTAGCTGTGATCTATGGCAAGTCACTTAATCTCTTGGTGTCTGCCTCTACATAAAAAAAAAAAAATAGGACAGAAATAGGACAGCAGTAGTACTTATCTCCCAATGCTGTTACAAGTGAATGAGTAAATGTGTAAAGCACTCAGAACAAACAGCACCTGACAAAAAGTGGTGGCTGAACAGGCTTATATATATATATATATATTATTATCGTAAAGCCCACCTATTATTTTAAAAAGTACTTGAACACAGTTATATACTCTGACCTAGCATGGCAAATCATTTACCTTAATGAGACCATCTCCTTGGGCAAAGCATGGGTCCTGCACAAAGTCAAGCACCTGAAGTGTCAGCTGATGCCACAACCTGAAAAACACAAGGCTCTTAAGACCTATAACCTAGCGTCAGTCACAGACATCTTCACCCTTGATGGTCCTATCAAATAACAAATACTAACCAGTCTCTACTGTGTAATACAAGAATGCTAAAGCAGATGTGTTTTAAAGCTGAGTTCTTTCCCTGGCTCTGCTACTCAGTGGTTATGTCACCCTGAGATCACTTAGCCTCTCTAAGACTCAGTTTCCTCAGCTATGAATGGAGAACACCTTTCCAGACTACCTCAAAGCGTTATTGAGAGGCTTGACTGGAAACAAGAACTCTGGAATCATACATACCTAATTTGAACTCCTGGCTCTTCTACCTATTAGCTGAGTATCTCAGGGAAGGAGCTTAAACTGAGCTTCAGCTTCCTCATCTTTAAACAGGATGAAGGACTGAATGAGCTAATACAGAAAGCCTCTAGAACAATGACATAGCACACTTGAAACCAAAGGCTGATTTCTAAGAGTGCAAATAAAATGCTCTGAAAAATACAAAGTGCTACACATGCAATTATTTGCCAAAAACTAAGAATTTTCTCTCAAAAATTGCTAATAGCAGAAGGCTGCTGAACATCATCAAAACACATACTGAGGGCTTCCCTGGTGGTGCAGTGGTTGGGAGTCCGCCTGACGATGCAGGGGACACGGGTTCGTGCCCCGGTCCGGGAAGATCCCACATGCCGCGGAGCGGCTGGGCCCGTGAGCCATGGCCGCTGAGCCTGCGCGTCCAGAGCCTGTGCTCCGCAGCGGGAGAGGCCACAACAGTGAGAGGCCCGCGTACCGCAAAACAAAAACAAAAACAAAAAAACCAACACATACTGAATATCCATGTGAGAGGCACTATGCTAAAAGCTAGGGTTGTTAACAGGGAGGTATTACAAGAGGTGTATTTTTCTATGGAACATCACTAAACCAATGCCAGCAACTCATTCGATTCATTTAAAAAGAGGTTATTGCTCATCAACTGACAATTTAATTGTTCTGAAATTCACCCTGTTTCTAAGCAAAACTGAGACGTCTCTAGGGGCACAAAGCCCAACATGAAATGCAATAAAAAGTATGGGCCATGGGAGAGGGGAGAAGTGGTTGCACCCCACCGTGTAACCTGAGGCAGAATCAACAGGGGAAAAAAAAAATAAACTGCACTGGCCTCTGGTTTATCTGCTCCAGACTGCCGAGAAAGATAACTGCAGCTACAGTGCCACTATGACAAAGCTAAGGACAAGACACCGGTATCTGTTATACAAAATATATGGCAGCCTGACCCCGAAAGGGTGTTTTGTTTGTTTGACTGGAATCAAGAGGTAAAATCATAGCCCTGAACCGTCTTCGTAAGACCAGAAGGAAGGGGAGTTTCGAAGCCTCAGTCACAGCCCCTCGGTCTGGAAGGCAGTGAACCCTAGATCCCAAAACCCAGCCTATGGCTCTCCTCCTCGGTCCTTGTGGGATGTCACCCCGCTCCCTCGTCGGCCCTGCCTTCCGGGTTCCTCAGCGCACCTCCTCGGTCTAGCCTGTCCCCACTCTCTCCACACGGGTCTGAACGCCCTCAGTCCATCAAGGTCCCGGGCCTCCCCCGTACCCACTCCGTGTCGCTCTCCCATCCCAGAACGCCCGGGTCCCCTTGGCTCGGCGCTCACTTCTTAGTGTAGAGCTCCTCCAGACGGTGCCACACGGCGGCCTGGCCGGGCCCGGAGCTCTGGCTCTGCTGTAAGAAGCCGGGTACGTCCTTCATGACGGGAGAAGACGCCGGGACAGCGGTACTGCGGGGATGGCCAGGCCGCGGGGTAGGGCTGCCAGAAGTGCTCACTCACTTCCGGCGCCGCGTCGCGCGGGGCAGGCCGGGAACGCCATACGCGACGTGGGGCGCTCCTGGTTGTCATGGTAACCGTGCCTATTTCCTTCGGGCAGAGTTCTCCTCAAGGTTTGTACCGGAATCCCCTGGCAGCTGGCCGTGCTACTCTGGCATTGAAGAGTACGGGCGCCTGGGTCGAACCAGCCATTGGCTGTGTGGCCTCGGCCTTTGTGACCCAGTGTTCCCGATTCAAGTGGGATGATAACAATACTACCTTCCTAGTAGTGGCTTGCGAGGACTAAGTATAAATATCATGTCTGTCCATAGAAAGCACTCCCAAAGTGTTAGTTATCATCGCCATCTCAATTGAAAAAAGGTGGGAGCGAGGGTAGAGAAATGCAGGTTCCTGGTTTGGTCTCGGGTCCCAGAGGAGGGAGATCATCAGACTAGGAAACCGGCCCCACCTTCCGTCCACCTCCACCTGGGCTGCCGGGGCCGGGAAAGAGAGCGCGAGGCTGTGGTAAGGGCTTGCGGGAGCGGGGCGAGGGTGCACCGAGAGGGGCGGGGCGCGCTGGGGGACGGGGAAAGAGAGCGCGAGGGTGTGGTAAGGACGCGCTGGGGCGGGGCGAGGGTGCACCGAGAGGGGCGGGGCGCGCTGGAGGTGGGGAAAGAGAGCGCGAGGGTGTGATAAGGGCTTGCAGGGGAGGGACTTTCGGGGGTGCGGCGCGCTCGGGGGCGGAGCGCGCACGTGACCCCTGGGCACCTGACGCTGCGGGCTCTGGAGGAACATGGCGCTGTGGGCTTGTTCAGTTGTTCCCGCCCTCAGGCTTTGGGGCCTGGGAGGTGCGCGGCCCTGGACCCGCCGGCCTCGGTTTGTTCCGGGTGACTGCGGCGGCGGGGGTGGCGGGCGGGGCCCAGGGCGGAGACTGACCCGCTCAGGCGAGCGGGGGAGTCAGGCTTCCCCCTGCGTGGTCGGCGGGACGATTGGAGGACCTGAAAATGGCAAGTCCCTGCTCACGCGGCCCTGAAGGGTGTTCCGGAGACACCCATGGCATTGGTTTCTCGTTTCTTCCCGGGGTATTTTGGGCGTGTATAAGCAACATTACTTGTTTATTCTTGACATCCCGCCCCCTTTTTAGTTAGAATCTATTCTGTACCTGTCCTTTTTTACTTAACATGTCTTGGAGTTACTTCCATTCTAAACATAAATGTTTTCTGAGGCTTTTATACTAATCTGTAGAATTCCATTATATGGATGTTTCATACTTTAACGAGTCTCTTGTTGAAATGGGTTCTAATCTTTAGTTACTACAGATAATGCTGTGTTGAATAACCTTGTTTGTACCTCACTTTTTGGATAAATTTCTGGTAGTGGAACTTATGCGTCTACATTTTATTGCCCCCACATAAAGGTGGTGCAGTTAATACTCCCACCAGCGTATGTTCATACCCCTTCACAGGTTCATACACAATAATTGCACATTTTGAGTTCTTGTCTAGGAACTGAACCTACAAGTGGAAAAATCTTAAGGCCCATAGTTGCTAATCAGAGTAGTTAGGAAACTAACTTAAATGCCCACTAATGGTCAAGTGTTTACGTAAATAATGGTACGTTCATTTAATGCCTTCTTACACAACTACCAAAAATATCGAAGAGTTTCATAAAGAAATACCAAGGAGGAGTCTTTCTTTCATCCAAGAAACTTTTAATTGGACTCATTATCTACCAGACTGTTCTAGATGCTAGGATGGAGCAGGGGTCAGACAAACTGTTGCCTCCATGGAGCTTATTCCAGTTCCAGAATCTGCAGGCAGCTGTGTGGGTGGGGCATGGCTAAATAGTGACCCGGGCCACCAGGTGCTGATCAGGAGACCGCCATCATTCAGTAAACCCTGCTCCCACTCTCCCCACCCCGCTGCCCCCGCCATCAAGCAGAAGGCTGGAGGGTGCCTGCGAGGAGCAGTCCGTTTGCACAGGCTGTCTGCAAGTTGGAAGTTGTGCCTTTTTAGGGCTCTTTTAAGAAATTGCCCTTTGTTGCCCTTTCCCAGGCAGCACCCATGCTTGCCCCTCAGAGCACCCCTACTCCCAGTAACTCTCATTCCATGTAGCATATACTTTAAGTCATTCAGTATGTTCTAGACATTCGGTAAAATTCTGCTGGGTGTTTTTCAGCGACAGACGTTTTACTTATAGATGAGAAATACACATCAAGTACCCTGAGTAATACCCTGCATGCAAGTAGGCACTCAACAATGGTAATGACTTCTACAACATGGGTATTTTTTCAACACCAGCAAGCAACTCTCCACTTTTCCACAGACACCGACCGGGTGTCAAATTTAACTGAATTCTGACTGTGTCAGCCTGGAGATAGCACCAGCTTCCACAGGTTAAGGGCTCAGTCCCACAAGACTGACACCACTTCAGCTGCCAATCCAGGTTCACCTGTCCTTCTGATGAACTGACTGCAAATCGGAGGTTCCCACGACCCCCTCCTCTGGTTGGATTCACTTGCTAGAGCGGCTCACAGAATTCAGGAAACCAGTTTACTTACTAGATCGCGGGTTTATTATAAGGGATATTAAAGGATATGAATGAACAGCCAGATGGAGAGATATGTATATAAGGCAAGGTTTGGAAGGGTTCCCAATACAGGAGCTTCTGTCGCTGCGGAGTTTAGGGCCTGGCACGTGGAAGTTTTCTGGTTCACCAACCTGGCAGCTCTCTGAACCCCCCTCCTTTTGGGTTTCCATGGAGGCTCCAACCCTCTAATTGTGGTCGGTCCCCCTGGCAACTATATCCCCATCCTTAGGGGATTTCCAATAGTCACCTCTTACCATAAACTCAGTGTAGTTGTAAGAGGCTTGTTATGAATAACAAGACACGCATTTCACCTTCACGGCTCTGAAGTGATTTTAGGAACTGAGGCCAGAAGACCAAATATTGTAACGAAAGATGCTCCCGTTGCTCTTAGGAAATTCAGAGGGTTCAGGGACAGAGACCAAAATATATATTTATTATAAATCACAGTATCACAACTTCCCTCTCATTCCTTTTGCACTTCTCATAATAATTTGCATTTAGGAGGAGCTCAGTAAATGTTTGGGTGAGGACCTTAGGTGAATAGATGTTGTTGATGCTGTGTGCAGGGGGGCATTTAATAGCTGTGGTTGGAACCAGAACCTTCTCTTTCCTTCCTAACCATCTGACTGGTTTTCATTGGAAAACCCTCTTAGGAGATTTCATTGACTTTTGCACTCAGAAGAGCTGCCTTCACAGGTGATTTTATGCAAGTCTTTGATGCAGCAGAACTTTCTTCAGAATCTAGGGGCCTCTCTGCAAGAGCCTGGGGAGGAGTGGGGAAGCATTGTTATCCCTGCTGCATCTATTTCCTGTACTTTCTGCTGGGAGGTTTACAGCTGTGGATTTTTTCCAAAAGACTGTAGGAATCGTCTCTGGCTCCCTTGCTTTTAGCTTCGGCAGCCGAGGCTCAGGCTGCTTGAGCGGCTTGGTGAGACAGGCAGTGAGCTAGGGCTCTGCCTCTCCTTTTGGTGCCCTCGGCCCTGCCTTCCCTTGCCATGTTCCTCTTTCTCATTACACACCTTTCTGAGGTCTGTTCTTTGGAAAACCAAAATGATGCTTTGTGTGTCAGGAGAGGCATCACAAATGGACTGAGTGGCCAGCAAGCCCCTGAGTTGCACTGTCATTTACCCCAGAGTGGAGTGTGAGAGTGCAGGAAGGGAAGGGGTGAGAGGCACCCTAAAGGGAGGAGGGGGAGCCAGTACTGTCACCTTTCAGAGGAGGGCGAAGTGACTTCTCACTGGGTTCAGCAGTGGCTTCATGAAGGAGGTGGCCTTGACTCTGGGAGACTTTGGACATGCTGAGGTGGAAAAAGGTCTTTTCAGACAAAGGAGCTGGGTTTAGGGTGTATACAAGAACCAGGAAAGGAGGGGTCTGTGAGAGGGAGTAGCGGGGTTGAAGCCATCACTGGGGCGGGGTGTGTTGTGCTAAGATGTTAGGGTGCTCTGGCGGGCAGAGGGCGTCTGGGCAAACCTCACCAGCCGTGTGTAAGCAGGTGGGTCTGTGCAGATTTTTCAGGAGCAAGAGAAAAACCAAAGACAGAGCAAACAAGGGAGTGAGTTAGGGTCGCACTCCTGGAAGATAAGCTCTGGGTTGTCCTGACTTGTATCTAAAGATGTGCTTTTAGGGCGCGTATTTCTTGCTTGTATCACAAATGAGTAAAATAAATACTCTGTTTCCTGTTTTCATGTCTGTATTCACTTTAGATTTATCAATCATTTGGGGAGGGCTGTCGTTTCAGTTGGTTTAATCTCTTTTCCTGTCAGGGTGGAGGGCGAGTCCTGGAGGCGGGTCACCAGGCCCTTCTCCTGGAGGATGGGTGTGGTAGCTGCCAGCCCTTGGGGTGTGAGGAAGGTGCCCTGTGTGGTGGGGCTGGCTGTCTTGAACTCTGGGCGAGCTGCCAGTGATACCAGGCGGTGATGAAGTTGTGCAGCTCAGGCAGCTGCCAGATGAGGGCCCTGAGAGCAGATCAGTAAACCCAGAAGGCCTTCAGGCCCGCACTCGTCTCTAGCCTGCGCGCCCCCAGTGGCTGCAGACTTGCTTCAGTGGGACGTTTTTCAGGTGTCGCTCCAGGCTCTATGCTGTCTGTGTTGCCCTCGTCTTCTTCCTGGTGCTTTCCTGGGTTTGGAGTCACTTATCGAGTCCCGATACCTCTCCGAAGTCTGTGACTTGTTTACTGTGTGTCTTGCTCTTTTTGTGTGTGGAAGAGCACCTCATACCCCTGACAGTTAAACTTGTTGAGAGCGTCTCAGCTCCTGGTCTCTGGAGTTTTGCGGGGAGACCCCGAGGTCCAGTCTGCCCACTGCCTTGCCTGGGTTCTGTGACTTGTTTGGCTGCCATGTGACATGAGCAGCCTCCTGAGTAGTTGCGGACGTTGAAGTCTCTGCAGCAGTTTGAATCGCTCACTGTTAGGATATGAATGTTTGTTTTTGGAATGGTCTCTTGAACCCACTTATCATCCTGGTAATATTTGGTGTAAAGTCTGAGATGTTTAACTTTCTTTAAATGTCACTGAGTATTTGTCACGTCCCAGGTATGTATGTTAGGGTGTATGGCTCTGCAGAGAGTATCCCCAGAGACCCCACAAAGGGATGCCCTTGGCTCTAGCTTGAGCCTTCAGCACTAGCCTTTGATAACAGGAACTGTGAAATGATACTTTCCTTATTTGCACAGTTGCCATTAACCGGAAATATGTCTTGATTTCTGAGTTTGTATTTTATCCATGGTGAGAAGGGTGGTCGTTTGGGGGGCAGGAGGGAAGTGTGTGGTCATTCTCAGTGGTGGGGTTGGGGAGGGGAGACATGGCTCATTCTTGCTAGCATGAACTGGATTATCATCGGTTACGTGACTGCTCTCTTCCTGCCAGTATTGCAGGTGGAGGAAGGCCCATATCTTTTTCTGCCGGTGTCTCAAGTGTCTCTGGAAGTGGAGGCCACAGTCAGAAGTTTCTCCTGCAGGACATTGCTGAGCTGATTAAAACCAGAGCCTGCCAGAGGGTGGTGGTCATGGTGGGGGCCGGCATCAGCACACCCAGCGGCGTCCCAGACTTCAGGTGCCTGTGCGGTCCCCGTGCTCCTCCCTGGCTGCCTGGGGCTCTCTCCTGAAGGGCTCAGAGCCTCTTGCTTCTCTCTGCAGATCTCCAGGGACTGGATACTACAGCAACCTCCAGCAGTACAAGATCCCCTACCCCGAGGCCATTTTTGAGCTCTCATTTTTCTTTCGCGATCCCACGCCGTTTTTCACTTTTGCCAAGGAGCTGTACCCTGGGAACTATAGGCCTAATGCCACTCACTACTTCCTGCGACTGCTCCATGACAAGGGGCTGCTTCTGCGGCTCTACACACAGAACATCGATGGGCTTGAGAGAGGTGAGACCTCCGTCCTGTCTCACATCTTCTCACTCCTGCAGGGAAGGCTCAGGTGCCTGTTTCTGGGTGGGGCTGAGGCCCAGTGCTTATTCCCCATCCTTGTGACTGATTTTGAGCCAAAAAGTTTTACCTTTGTCCCCCCCCCCAAAAATGTCCTCTGTGTGTTTAAGTATCACTGTTGGGACCTCATTGGTGGACCCATTTTCCGGGCTGTGAGTTTGGGATAGAACTAAAGTTGACATTGGGAGCTTCTGATCCGTTGATTTCTTTTCTTTTCTTTTTATATGTATATATTTTAAAATATTTATTTATTTATTTATTTGGCTGCATCAGGTCTTAGTTGCGGCACACAGGATCTTTGTTGCGGTGCGTGGGCTTCTCTCTAGTTGTGGCGCACGGGCTCCAGAGCACGTGGCCTCAGTAGTTGCGGTACACAGGCTCTCTAGTCTTGGCACGTGGGCTTAGTTGCCCCGTGGCATGTGGGATATTCGGTCCCCGACCAGGGATCAAACCCATGTCCTCTGCATTGGAAGGCGGATTCTTAACCACTGGACCACAAGTGAAGTCCCCTGATGATTTCTTTTTTAAAGTTTTCATTATGGGATTTTCCGAGCACACAAAAATGAAGAGAAGAATGTAATGAATCCTCATGTCCTCATCACCTCATCATGGCTAGTCCTGTTTAATCTGTGTCCTACCCCCACCTCTCTCTCACCCCCAACTGTTTTGAAGCAGATCCCTCTCATCATAAATTTAATACATAAATCTAGCAATGGATATCTTTAGAAGATAAAGACTTTTAAAACACAACCATGATATCATTGTCACACAGAAAAATCACTCATAATTCCTTAAGTTCATCAAACTCAGTGTGTGGTGATTTCTTGACTGTCTAGGTGGCGGCCACAACCAGTGATTCATGGGTCATACTGTCATACGGACCCCTGGCCGTGCACCCTAGAGAAGCAGTTGGCGGGGCCTCTTCTTACGTGCAGTGACGCTGACAGGTGCTGACAGGCAACTCTCAGCAAGCCAGCGGCAGCTCAGCCAGGCTGTGGGTGTGTTGTGATTTGAAAAATGGAGTTATCTCGACTCCAGGAAAATGTTTCTCTGCTAGAAGGACTCTACGGCTTGGAACCACATAGGCAGCAGTGAATACCCCATGGGGACAGTCTCTCTCCTGGAGTTGCAGCAGGGCAGGCCTTGTGGGAAGGCGGGAGTGTGTGGCTGTGAGCTTCGGCGTATGTACAGTGAGGACAGTGGGGAACCACTGCAGCTAGGACCAAGTCTGTGTACCTACAGTCTTCCAGAGCTCATGGTGATAACAGAAACTTCATGATAAGTTACCTTTTGTCTGTTTTTCTACAGGTTTTTGGAAATGTATTTATAATATTTTCTCACTTTTACTAGGTGTCTGTAGCATAGAAAATGTTTTTCTTAGTATTGGGTGTACTTTTATCTGGACTTAAATGTTTTTTCTACTGTGTTTTCACAGGCTTTGTTTCAACTGTGATTCGGCTCCATGTTGGAGCCTCGCCCCTGAGGTTATTCTGATCAGTGGGGTGTCGTTTGTAGGTGACAGAGGCGGGACCGTCGGGCTTCCACCAAGGGCGGTGACTCCTGAAGGGCCTGCTCAGCCCAGAGGTTACACTAAGGGGCTTCCGCCCAAGCTGGGGGCAGCAGCACTTAGATTTGGTTTGAATTTCAGCGTCTGGCATCCCTGCCTCAAAGCTCGTTGAAGCTCATGGATCCTTTGCCTCTGCCACCTGCACCGTCTGCCGAAGACCCTTCCCAGGGGAGGACTTTTGGGTGAGTTGTCACACTGACAGTTCTCTCCCTTCTGCCTTTCTCACTGGGAGTAAGCTGGAGAAGCGGTGTTGCATAAGCATCATGTCGGAAGGACAACAGAACAGTAATACTAGGAAAATGTTTTTAATATGTACTTGTAAAAAATTAAGGCAATACAAACAACAAGGATTTACGGTATAGCATAGGGAACTATACATTCAATAGCTTTAATAACCTATAAGGGAAAAGAATAAAAAAAGAATATGTATACATACATATATATATACATGTATAACCAAATCCCTTTGCTGTACACCTGAAACTAACACAATATTGTAAACCAACTGTACTTCAATTTTTTAAAAATGTGCAAGTCCTAACTCCCAGTACCTGTAAATATAAACTTATTGGGCCATAGGATCTTTTCAGATTAAAAAAAAAATAAGGCAATAGAGAAATATATAGGGAGAAATGAATCTGCCTTCATCCAGTTCCTGTAGCCCACTTTTAACAGTTTGGTGTATAATGTTCCAGGCCTTAAAAAAAGAAAGATATGTATATACAAACATACATGCACATTTCTGGGTGCTACACCCACACACAGTTACAACTTTTCTTCATCAATGGGATCATTAAGATTAATATTGTGCAACATGCTTTGTCACTGAGCAAAATTTCATGGATATTTTGTGTCAATAACTATAGCTCTACTTACTGTTTTTAGTAACTATAGAGCATTCCATTTAGCAATTCACCTGTTGTGGGATATATTATGATGTTTGTGATTTTTACTATTAAAAATAATACAGTAATGATACCCATGTTTACACCTCTGTGTACTTCTGGGAATATTTGGGAATAGAATGTTTTTTTTTAATTTTATTGAAGTATAGTTGATTTACAATGTTGTGTTAATTTCTGCTGTACAGCAGAGTGACCAGTTATACATATGTATACATTCTTTTTCACATTCTTTTCCATTATGGTTTATCACAGGATATTGAATAGAGTTCCCTGTGCTCTACTGTAGGCCCTTGTAGTTTATCCATCCTATATATAATAGTTTGCATTTGCTAATCCCCCACTCCCACTCCATCCCTCCCACACCTCCCTACCCCTTGGCAACCACAAGTCTGTTCTCTTTCTCTGTGAGTCTGTTTCTGTTGCGTAGATATGTTCATTTGTGTGGTATTTTAGATTCCACGTATAAGTGACATCCTATGATATGTGTCTTTCTCTTTCTGACTTACTTTGCTTAGTATGATAATCTCTAGGTTCATCCATGTGGCTGCAAATGGCATTATTTCAGTCTTTTAAATGCCTGAGTAATATTCCATTGTATATATCTATATACACCACATCTTCTTTATCCTAGAATGGGTTTTTTTTGTTTTTTTTGTTTTTTTTTTTGCGGTACGCGGGCCTCTCACTGTTGTGGCCTCTCCCGTTGCGGAGCACAGGCTCCGGACGCGCAGGCTCAGCGGCCGTGGCTCACGGGCCCAGCCGCTCCGCAGCGTGTGGGATCTTCCCGGACCGGGCCACGAACCCGTGTCCCCTGCATTGGCAGGCGGACTCTCAACCACTGCGCCACCAGGGAAGCCCTGTTTGTAGATTTTTTGATGATGGCCATTCTGACTAGTGTGAGGTGATACCTCCTTGTAGTTTTGATTTGCATTTCTCTCATAATTAGTGATGTTGAGCATCTTTTCACGTGCCTCTTGGCCATCTGTATATCTTCTTTGGAGAAATGTATATTTAGGTTAGGTCTTCCGCCCATTTTTGGATTGAGTTGTTTCTTTTTTTGATATTGAGTTGCATGAGCTCTTTGTATATTTTGGAGATTAATCCTTTGTCCGTTGATTTGTTTGCAAATATTCTCTTCAATTCTGAGGGTTGTCTTTTCATCTTGTTTATGGTTTCCTTTGCTGTGCAAAAGCTTTTAAGTTTCATTAGGTCCCATTTGTTTCTTTTTGTTTTTGTTTCCATTACTCTAGGAGGTGGGTCAAAAAAGATCTTGCTGTGATTTATGTCAAAGAGTGTTCTTCCTATGTTTTCCTCTAAGAGTATTATAGTGTCCGGTCTTACATTTAGGTCTTTAATCCATTTTGAGTTTATTTATTTATTTGTTTATTTATATACAGTTGTTGTTTTTTTAATAGTTTTTTTTTTTTAGATGTTGGGGGTAGGAGTTTATTAATTAATTAATTTATTTTTGCTGTGTTGGGTCTTCGTTTCTGTGCGAAGGCTTTCTCTAGTTGTGGCAAGCGGGGGCCACTCTTCATCGCGGTGTGCGGGCCTCTCACTACAGCGGCCTCTCTTGTTGCGTAGCACAGGCTCCAGACACGCAGTCTCAGTAGTTGTGGCTCACGGGCCTAGTTGCTCCGAAGCATATGGGATCCTCCCAGACCAGGGCTCGAACCCGTGTCCCCTGCATTGGCAGGCAGATTCTCAACCACTGCGCCACCAGGGAAGCCCCTTGAGTTTATTTTTGTGTATGGTGCTAGGGAGTGTTCTAATTTCATTCTTTTACATGTAGCTGTCCAGTTTTCCCAGCACCACTTATTGAAGAGACTGTCTTTTCTCCGTTGTGTGTCCTTGCGGAAGGTGGATTCTTAACCACTGGACCACTGGGGAAGTCCCTAGAATGGGTTTTTTAAAGTAGAGTAAGATAGAGTGGAAAATCTTAAATAAAGATGAAATTCTGAAATATCAACGTGGCACAGGATCCTGTCTTTTATTTTTTATTGAGGTGAAATTCACATAACATAAAATTAACCATTTTAAAGTGTACAGTTTATTGGTATTTAGTACATTCACTGTGTTGTGCAACTGCCACCTCTATCTAATTCCAAAATATTTTCATCACCCCAAAGGAAAACCCTGTATCCACTAATCAGTCAACCCTATTCCCTTCCTGCCCCCAACCCCTAGCAAACACTGATTTTTAAAAAAATTCTATTGGAGTGTAGTTGATTTACAGTGTTGTGTTAGTTTCAGGTGTACAGCAAAGTGATTCAGTTATACATATACATATATTCATTCTTTTTCAGATTCTTTTCCATTAGGTTATTACAGAATATAGAGTTCCCTGTGCTATACAGTAGGTCCTTGTTGGTATATAGTAGTGTGTATATGTTAATCCCAGGCTCCTATTTTATCCCTCCCTACCACGTTTCCCCTTTGGTAACCATAAGTTTGTTTTTGAAATCTGTGAGTCTGTTTCTGTTTTGTAAATAAGTTCATTTGTATCATTTAAAAAAAATTAGATTCCACATATGAGTGATATCATATATATGTCTTTCTCTGTCTGACTTCCTTCACTTAGTATGGTAATCTCTAGGTCCATCCATGTTGCTGCAAATGGCATTATTTTGTTATTTTTTATGGCTGAGTAATATTCCATTGTGTATATGTACTACATCTTCTTTATCCATTCCTCTGTTGATGGACATTTAGGTTGGCAATCACGGATCTCTTTGTTGTCTCCATAGTTTTGCCCTTTCCAGAATGTCACAGAGTTGGAATCATACAATATGCAGCCTTTTCTCACTGGCTTCTTTCACTTAGCATTATGTATTTAAGGTTCCTCCATATCTTTTCATGGCCTGATAAGCACTTTTTTTTTTTTTAGGCTAATATTCCATTTGCTGGATGTAACACAGTTTGTTTATCCATTCACCTACTAAAGGACATCTTGATTGCTTTGGCAATTATGAATAAAGTTGCTATAAACATCCATGTGTAGGTTTTTATGTGGACATAAGTTCCTCTGGGTAAACACCAAGGAGCGTGATTTCTGAATGCTATGGTAAGACTGTGTTTAGTTTGTGTCTTCCCAAGGGGCTGCCCCATTTTGCATTCCCAGCAGCAGTGAATGTAAGTTCCTGTTGCTCCACGTCCTCATAGGCACTTGGTGTTGTCAGTGTTCTGATTCTGGCCGTTCTTAATAGGTGTGTAGTGGAATATCATTGTTTAATTTGCAATTTCCTAGTGACATATGATGTTGAACTTGTTTCATGTGCTCACTTACCATCTGTATATCTTCTTTGGTGAGGTCTTGGGCTCAGTTTTTAACTGGGTTGCCCATTTTCTTATTGTTCTTTATCAGATGTGTCTTTTGCATATTTTCTCCCCGTCTGTGACTTGTCGTCTCATCCTCTTGACATTGTCTTTCACAGAGGAGAAGTCTTTAATTTTAATGAAGCCTGACTTACCATATTTTTCTTTCATCGATCATCTTCTTCCAGATTGTGTTGGCTATTCTGAGTCTTTTGCTTTCCATATCAACTTTAGAATCAGTCTGTTGCTATCTATTCTCTGCATATTTTAAAAAACTTTTCTCTTTGGAGTTTTGCACTTTACTATGGTTTGTCTCCGTATGGATTTCCTTTTGTTTGTTATGCTTAAAAATTGTAGAGCTTTCTGAATCTGAGGTTTGATATCTTTCATTTTTGCTGAAAAATCTTCAGTCATGATCCCTTCAGACAGTGACTGCCCCACCATGTCCTGTCCTCTCTGTGTGGACCTTGGGTGAAACACCTCTGAGACTGGTTCACACTGTCCGCAGCCCTTGGCGGCTCTTTTCTACACCCATCCTGCTCCTCTTTGTGCTGCATTCTGAGTTCTTCTCCTGATCTACTTTCCAGTTTATCGATATTCTATTCTGTCATAGAGGATAAAGCCCTTCCACTGAGCTTTAATTTTCGATACTCTGCTTTTTATTACTGGAAGTTCTATCTGGTTCTTTTTTAAATCCACGACATTATTTTGTATAGCTTTCTATCTCCAATAGATATTTCAAGACTGTCTTTTTAAAAATTTACCCATAATATAGTTTCTAATCTGTATCTGCGAATATCTGAAGTCGTTGACCAGCCCATCTCTTTTGTCTGTCGTTTCTGCTGCTCCTTACTGGGTTCCGCCTGCAAAACCAAATCCCATTAGCTGTAAAGGTTTATCTTAGAAGCCAGGTGTCTTTTTCCTTAGTTTCCTCCTCTAATGTCTAGCCCAAGCATGAATCCAGGTGTAGCAGGGTATAATAATAGCTTACATCTGCTTCACCTTGGCCTGCAAGGAGAAGTCTGTGGAAAATGTTGTGACTCATAACTCCAGTCAGTGAGTTGAAGCCGACCTGAATGTCTTCAGGGCTAAGGTGATGATGTCAGGATCACTTCAGCTAAAATCAGGGACAAATTGAATAATGCCTGTTGTTGGCCAAATGCCTGCAGAGTACTTCTGAGGACTATATAATCAGTACAGTTGACCTTTGAACACGGGTTTGAACTGTGTGGGTCCACTCATATGTGGATTTTTTTCAATAAATGTGTACTCCAGGACTACTTGATCCATGGTTGGTTGAACCACAGATACAGAGGAACCATCTGTACAGAGGGTTAACTAACTCTAAGTTCTGTATAGATTTTCATTTGTGCGGAGGGTTGGTGCCCCTGACCCCTGTATTGTTCCAAGGTCAGCTGTGTTTCCTCAGCACCTGCATATCTCTGATAAGCACCCCAGGTGCAGAGCGTAGTGTTCAATGCGTTGGATGTCGTATGGTGTCCAGGATCTGCTTTCAAATACTGCAAGCTCCCCCAATTCTGGGGTGCTATATGAAACTGGCAGAGTGTCAGTAATTGCTGAAGCTGGGTCCATTATATACAGGGGGCTTTACTGTACTGCTGTCTCAGCTGTGGAACGTTTGACAGTTTCTCAATAAGAAGCTGTTTTTGCCTTTTCCGTTCAAAGTGTGTTGTGACAGCTTCCTTGGGCCCCCTTTCTCTCTGTGTCACCCCAGGCCGACGTGATGGTGGACACGGTCCCACGCTGCCCGGTCTGCACTGGCGTTGTGAAGCCCGACATCGTATTCTTTGGGGAGATGCTGCCCCACAGGTTCCTGCTGCATCTGGCTGACTTCCCCATGGCAGACCTGCTGCTCATCCTTGGGACCTCTCTGGAGGTTTGTCAGCAGGCCTTGCGGTGCACAGACATGTGGGGAGGAGGCTGGCGGAGCGAGGCAGAGGAGGTGGGGCTGGTGGGACAGATGCTCTGGGGCCACACCTCTGGAAGGTGAGTGGATTCAACATGCGAGGAGGCAGAGGTGTTCCAGGCCTAGAATGGGGAGCAGGGAGGACGCTCAGCGTTGGAGGTATCCAGAGTGCAGGTGGGCACAGTGCGCAAGGGGAAGGGGTGTGGGAGACGTGAGGCGGGAGCAGGTCTCCCAGGTCGTATCACAGAGACCGACCTTGTGTAGAGGCAGTGAAACCAGGGATGTAGCTGGTCATCCTCGGGATCGGAGAGACTTGGGGACAGGGACTGAAGTGAGCAGATGTCCAGGAGGCTGGGCACAGTCAGACTGCGGGGCTATGAGAGACGGCAGAGAGGGAACGGCTGGACTCGGAGCCTGGCGTCACTTTGAGGACCGAAGAGAGAGGTGTCTGTCTCTTCGTGGGGGTCAGGGCCTTTGCTGGGGAGGGGGAATCTGGATCAGGGATGCTGAGTGTCCTGCACACGTGTGTTTGAGGTGCCTGGGAGATGCATCCGGATTTGAAGCTCAGGAGACTTCTAAAGGACGTGATGAGACCCTGAAATGGGCTGTGCCTGATTGGATGCAGGCACCAAGGGGCAGAGGGGCCAGAAAGACCTGTGCCTGGGGCCCCAGCCAGTCAGAGGCCCAGAGCTGTGTGTTTCTTCAGTGAATCTGCCTGCTGTGTGCCAGGCCCTGTTGCAGTGTGTGTGTCAGGAACCCCTCAGTGGCGGCCCCTCTGTGAGGGGCCGGGCCCTTGCTCTCAGGGAGTGAGACCAGATATACGAGCTGTCATGTCACTGGTGAGTGTGGATGAGGAGGGCAGGTAAGGTGGTGTGCATGAACTTTAGCAGGGAGACCCACAGGACCCAGGAGATGTCGGAAGAGAAAGGGGGCGTGGATGAGAGGGAGGCTGGGGTGGGGGAACAAGGGCATCGAGACCCAGCGGTGGGAGTGCTACTGAAGAAATGAAACGGATGCTGGGTTTTCTCCATATCCAAGGTCCCACTGTCAGTCTGTGCTGTCCCTCTGAGGCTGCAGGGGCTGTGGCAGAAAGGTCCCGAGGGCTTGGGAGGGCGGGCAGTGTGCTCCTCACGTTTGGGCAATTTTTCAGGTGGAACCTTTCGCCAGCTTGTCTGAGGCCGTGAGGAGCTCGGTGCCCCGACTGCTCATCAACCGGGACTTGGTGGGGTCCTTGGCTAGGCATCCTCGGGGCAGGGATGTGGTCCAGCTGGGGGACGTGGTTCACGGTGTGAAAAGGCTGGTGGAGCTTCTGGGCTGGACGGAGGAGATGCGGGACCTCATCCAGCGGGAAACTGGAAAGGTAGGGACGGCTGAGAGTCATGGGAGGGGCCATCTCTTCTACTCTGGGGTCTGGTCAACCTGGAATGGCGCCCTCTTTGGCTAAAACAGTAACAGTAATAGGTAATATTGCTGTTAACCCTGTACCAGGCACTGTTTGGCGCCATCTATGTGCTTATGAATCGGGTGCTGTGATTCTTAATACCTCTGTTTAGAGATGAAGAAACTGATGCTTCGTTCCTGCTGAGTGGCAGAGTGGAGATGAGGGTCCAGGCAGACAGGGCTGTCGCTCTGCAGTTGTCACACTTCAGCTGTCTTTGTACCCCAAACTAAAGGAGCACTCCAGGATAAGATGGGATTCTGAAGTTCTCTGAACCTGTGTGGGATGATGCTTTTAGGAGATAATCAGAGTGAGAGGAGTTGACGTATCATCTGAGCGTAGAAAGTGAGAGCGCCTTGATCTCTCTAGATGGCAAACCTCCTATAAACAAGTGAAGTTGCAGAAAATGCAGTTTCCCTTGAGAATCAGTTAGCATGTGTAGCCTTGATGTGAGGGGTTATTTTCTACAGGGGGCAGCATTAAGCATTTTAAGTCCAGTTGTCTCAAAGAGGATTATTTATGATTACAGCCAGGTATAACACTGCTGAAAGTGGACTTCACTAGAATGCTGTAAGTTATGTTCTTGCTATCTTGGGAAACCTCTCACCCTTTGGCTGTGGCTGCTTCAGGACTCAGGGCCATGAGTCAGCCCTTTCCTCTCACCTCCACTGGCAAAAGCCCCCAGCCTCTGGCTACAGCCTGATTTCTTACCAATTTGAACCAAAGCAAGAAGAATATGAGGCTTTTTAAAGATATAAGACTTTGCAGTTATATTGTTTTCATGGTATTAGACATCATTGCCTTTCAATCCAGAGTTAGGGCTCTTAGGGATAAGATGTAGGATGGTGCCATTTCTCATCTCATTATATGGAGGAAATAAAGACCGTCAAACGTTAAAGTCACGTTGCTGGGCCGCTTAATGGAAGCAGAGTCCGGCTAATACGGACGCTTACACTTTACACCGCGAGAGGAACCGTAGCAGATGCCTTGCTCACAGGGGAGTAGAGATCTTGGTCAGATCCGCCTGGCAGCTTACACAGGAGGCTTGGGTGGCTGACTTCCTACTTCCATATAACAGCAAGACAAAGTCAAGTAGCCTCTATAGACGTTTAGAATTATAGTCCTATAGGATTTGACCTGTGCTATTTTCTAGTTCCACAGAAATTTGTGTAAAGTTACGATTTTAGGGGTTTACTTATTTTAAAAGAGTTGCTGTCCAAGAATAAACACTAAGGGATGAGCTGAAGTCTAAGATGGATTACTTTTCCAAACAGTGAACGTACTTCAGTACATCTTGACTGGTTACTTAAGCGAAGCCCTCCATTTAGCCACCCAGTTTTGCCCAGCCCTGCTGGCATCGTCTTAACTTGGTTGAACAGCAGCATTTGCAGACAGAAAAGCTTCCGTTTTAGGAAATAATTCAATTCCAGGCCCTGAGATGTGCCCAGGTATGTTTTCAGATAACCAGTTTCCTCTCTCCTTTGTGCTCCAGCTTGATGGTTGGGACAAATTAGGAGAGTGAGGGCTGCTCCTCACGCCAGAAATGGCTACATGGGAGTCACTGCCCACTTCTGACGAGCCCTCTGCCTGAAGAACAGCTCGGGCACGCTTACAAATTTTGGCTGAACCAGAACATGCGACCTGAGGCTGCTCCTGGAGTGTCTTCCCAGGGCATGAGAGTCTGTGCACTTGGGGCCACCCCAGCCACAGATGTGCAGGAGCTGCCTGGCCTGACTTTTTGCTGAAGCTCTTAATGCCACAAGCGTTCTTCTGATGGTCAACCTCTTGGACTCAGACAACCTGGAACCCCAGACTGGACTCCATCTGAAGGGCAGGTTTAGCATCTGTCCACTTGGGTCGAGCAGCCCCAGTCACACCCCAAGTGTGGGCCTGGGTCCCAGGTAATGCACTAGGGTTTTCTAGCGCTGTGGCCTCTTTAGTAGGTTTATTTTTAGAGATTGTCCTTCATTTCTGGCATGAAGTAAACTGTAATAGAGAAACTGGGCATCCCTTCATTTTTGTCTCCTAAAAGGGAAGATGAACGTGGAAAGGGGAGCTTGGGGGTGTGTGGGTGTCTCTCCTCTACTGAAACAACCCGAGGACTGAGAACATTTGTCCCTGATTCATCTCAGAGATGGGCATAGTGCCCTCTTCCACCTCAAGTCCATGGGACCTTCAGAGCACCCAGCACCCCTCATGAAGGTCATCCCATCCTGTTCACTCGACCCCGATGCCTTTCACATCAACCCCCAGAAACTCATCTGTTCCAGACCATTCCAGCAGCTTCCTGTCTCCCTGTCTCTACTCTCCTCCATCAGGCCTTCTTCCAGTAATGCTGCTAGAATTAACCTCTAAGACAGAAGGCAGTACTCATTTGGAAACCTCGCCTGGCTCCCTGACCTGTGCTCAGGCCACACTGCTGTTTGGGCAGAACATACTGTGATCTCCCTGCTTCTGTACAGGCCTCTTCTGGGGTTGCCCCAACCCTGCCCCCCCAGTGCTCTCTCCTTCCTGGCATCTTGTCTTCCCCACTGGGCCGGAGCAGATCTCACCGACAGACTCCTCAGGAGACCTGGTGGCCTCACTCTTCAAGAACAAGACATGCGGGCTTCCCTGGTGGCAAAGTGGTTCAGAGTCCGCCTGCCGATGCAGGGGACACGGGTTTGTGCCCCGGTCGGGGAAGATCCCGCATGCCGCGGAGCGGCTGGGCCCGTGAGCCATGGCCGCTGAGCCTGCGCATCCGGAGCCTGTGCTCCGCAACGGGAGAGACCGCAACAAAGAGAGGCCCGCGTAAAGCAAAAAAAAAAAAAAAAAAAAAAAAAGAACAAGACACGCATACGCACCTGGGAAAAGTGCTGAATTGTAAGAAAAACATGATTCTATTTCTGCTTAACGTGCCTTTACTTGGTATCTTGCACATATATTCACACACAAACATCCCTGCCTGGAACTCTTTATTCCAGAATAATGTTTCTGTGAAGCTCTGTGGTGCATGACAGAAATCTAGACTTATGGTTTCAGGGGAGACATTATCCTTCATGTATTTATGGTTGAAACCAGTGGGAAGGATCGAGACCCGACTGTCACAACCAGAGAACATGGGCACTGAGCCAGGACCGAGAATGCAAAAGGCTACCAGCCGTGCACTCAGTGGGGACAAAAACAGCAGATCATACCTTGTGTGTTTCTGGCATTAGCATATAAAGTTCCAGCAGGTTCTTTCCCCTGTGAAATGTGGTGCTTGCCCAACACCAGTTCTGGGCCTGCATGCCAGCTGTGGATGTGCTGTGTCTCACTCAGCCCACACTCAGCCCCCGCCCTCCCAAACCCATGTACATTTCTGCCTTCAGTTAAGCCCTGCCCTCAGGCACACATAAAAGAAACCACTTCATTTGCGGAAAGCAAGGCTGAGTTCCCAGAGTTCGTAGGACAAGACCCTTGCAGCCCTAAAGAGAAGAAAATGGACCAAAGGCAAATCACGAATAGAAGTGTGGGAGTAAAGAGAAAAGGGTCTCCGAGTTGGAGGGAGGGATGTGGCTTCCCCAGGTCCTGGCCCCCAGGACTCCTCTGGAAGCAGCACCAGTTCTGAAGGGCAGTAGAAGAGCAGCTGTTCTCAGTCAGGGTCTGAGTCAGGGTCCGAGGAGAGCTGTCCCTCCATGGTCTCGCACATGGCATCCTGCAAGGATGTGAGCTGACCCCGGGGACTCATCCCCATGGGCTGGATGACTCTGTGCCTGCGGGGAAAAGGCGTGGTAGGGATGGGCACGGGTCCTGCTCACCCCTGGCTGCGACCTTCTGTTCCACCAAGCTGCTCCTGTTTACTGGGGAAGCCTGGGTGGGAACTGTTTCAGTCAGGCCTAAATCCTAACTGCTACCTAAGCTCTGAGACCTTAGGCAGTGTCTTAATTTCTCTGGGCCTCAGTTTTCATCAACTGTAAAGATAGACCTAATACTGATCTCAGCCCTAACCCCTGGCTAGAGAATTTTCTCCAAGACAGGTGATTTCAAACATTAGTAACGCAGCCCTGCCAGAACCTAAGCCCCACTGTGATCCCACTTCCTGTGGCTCGCAAGACAGGACGTGGGTCCTTCTCCTTTGTCCTAGCGCTGGGCCCCTCCTGCCAGGGCACATACCTGGAGAGCTTGTCAAACATGTTCACCAGCTTCATGGCCTCATGCTCTTTCTGCTCCTCTGTCATGCCCTCCATGGGGTTGGGAGGCTTTTCCTCTACCCTTCCAGTCACTGGGTTTATGCTGTTTCACAAGAGAGGGAGCATGGGGAACGCATCAGTGACTTTGCAGGACAAAAGAAGGCTGTGTGGGGTGAGTGGAGTTCCTTATCTTCCTGCTTGGGCTTGTAATGGCAAGAAACCCATTTTCCTGGGTGCGGGGAAGGCGAGGCAACTGCAGAAGAGCCCTCCCTCCTGGAGCAGCAGGTAACCAGCTCCTGCTGTCTGGACCACCCGGTCCCCGGCACTGCTCGGCCCCCTTCAGCCGGTGTTCTCAACAAAACACCCTGATGTCAGAATACGTGTCACTTGGGAACAGCAGCCTGATTCTGTAAGGTTTTACCTGCTGGTCACCCTGTCCTGCCCACCCTACGGGCCCAAATGGGTGTGGGAATAGGAATGGGGGCCGAGTGAGGGCAGCCCGAGGATGTGGGGGGCACACACCTGGCCTTGGCTTCCTTGTACTCGTCTGTGTCCGTGTCCTCGTCCTCCGAGTACTGGCCCTCAGGCCGGCCCCCTGCCATGAGGCCCCTAGCAGCCAGGAGGCCGGCAGCATTCCCGTAGCCTGTGTACTTGATGAATCGGGGCACTGAAGGGCAGGGCAGAGGTCAGTGTGCAAACGTGGCTGGGGAGGGGCAGGCGAGGGGCAGGCAAGGGGCCGGCCCCCCGACTCACCGCTCTCAGAGCACAGGACAAACAGGAACTCGGCTGCCACCCTCTTCACGTCGGTGTCCAGGTGCGTCATGAGGCGAACCAGCTTGTTCCGCAACAGCTCCCCCACCTCAGGCCGGGTCCTCACATCCCGCAGCGGGGGCAGCACCTGGGGATGTAGTTGTCCCTGAGCCCAGGCCTGGAACGACCAGGGTCTCTGACCAGGGCCTGACCGCGGCCCCTCTGCCCCGTACCTGGGCCTTCAGGAACTTCCTGGCGGGGCGGTGCATGCGGGCACACTCCGTCAGCACGCTCAGCACGGGAGCCACACTCTCCTTCAGCCTGTGCGTCTGCAGAGGAGCCTCTGTCACTGGACTGCGCCCATCTGACTCGAGGCCAGGGGAGCTAGGCACACACACCAGATGGTCCTGGCAAGAAGCGTTCGGGACGAGGCCCCGCCACAGGGGCCCCAGCTGAGGGGCTCAGAGAGGGCAGTGGGTGTCTGTGTGAGCTTCGAAAAGGACAGGCGTGGACCCTAACTCAGGGCCATTCGCATGCCCTGCAACTTGAGGCAAATCACTCAACTGCTTTGAGTCTCACTTCCCTCCCTTTACACCAGAATGGTGGGGAAAACAGAGTGTCCCAAGCTGTTAGCACACCACCAGAACACAAACCAGCTCCCAGGGCACGCAGGCAACATGGATTCCCCGGGGCCCTACAGAATCTCTTTGGCTTGCGTGATACGTCTGCGAACGCCAGGGTGGCTGGTTAGAGCACTGGCTGGCCAATGCCCTGGGGTGCAGCCACAGGAATCAGGGAGCCTCTGGCTTGAAGGCCCTGCGGGTCCCCTTAGGGACGCCAAGGCACAGCCGATGCTCGTCACCAAGGGCTGCTTGTGCTCAGTGACAGTTTGAGTTTAGGGGCACAAACAGGGACTACGGGTGGGCGGGCTTCTCAAGGCCACTCAAAGACCCACAAGGAGATCTAAGAAAATGAGTCCTTTGCTAGACTCTGAAAACTGTTTCCGTATACTTCTCAGGGAGGAGGGTCCAGCCTCCTGCGTGGCCGGACCGTGGAGGAGCTGGAGCGTCACCTGAATCACACTGGGGGGCTGATCTCCACCTCCCAGCGTGGACTACAAAAACGCAGCGACCACAGCTGCGCGGGAAAGCCTGGACCAGAGCCACAGCAGCTCCCCCTGCCCACCTGGTGCAGACGCTTCTCCAGGAAACTAAGGAGAGCACGAATCACATCCATGTTCACTCCCAGGAACTCCAAAGAGCCTTCGTGGGGTTCCAGGGTGAGAAGAACATCCAGACATTTGAGGGGCAAGTTCCCCAGGAGGTTCACCGTGTGGCTAGGGACAGATGAAAGGGGCATTTGGTAAATCCAATCCCCGAGCCCAGGTACAACGCCTGCCACCACTTGCTGGGGCCATGATATAAACCAGCGCAGGGGGCCTGAGCAACAGCACGAGGTACCAGAGCTGAGGGCAACACTCCCTGCGAACGGCCGACCTAGTGCACATCTGGGTCGAAGCAACGCAGTCAAAAATCAGAACCTGCCTATGCGTAGGTCAGCAACAATGGACGTGAATAAGCGCGCTGCCTTACAGATACCATACTGTCCGTGACACTACCCAAAGTCCACTGGCACGTTCCTGTCCCCGGACTCACAGCTCTTGTCCTAGCTGTGTACTGTAAATGCCGGAGCTCCCCGGAAATACACTGACGTCCGTCTCACCCAGGTGAAGAAGACTCTAGAGCTAGGAACCACCAGGGAGACCTGCGAGCAGAACGCCCCCCGCACGACAGGCACCACCCTCACCCGTGGAGCTCCTCTGTGCGGTCTCCAGCAGCAGCAACCATCACACAGTGCCGCAGGAGGGTCCCCAGGTGCCGGTAAAGGGCAGTGTCTTCCTGACCAAAGAGAAGAAGATTCCTGTGAGAGCGCCCCACTCGTCCCCATCGCTGCCAGCTGAGATTCCACCGTCTGGCCCACCGCAAGCCCACGCACGCTAATTACACACCTCTATTGTACACCTGGATGCTGTCCTCTCCCACGCGACCTGAAGAGCACCCTCCTGACTAAGAACGTTGACGGATCCCTTTGGACCTGCTCTGCGCTTTAGGCCCATGCTCACAGAGGCGTGGTGATGAGTCTCTCACAGCCTCCCCCCACCAAACAGCCCTCCTGCCAAGCTGCAAGAGCCAGTTATGCTCTCCACCGCCCTGAGAAAACTTCCTTGAGGGCCCTGTCCCGGATGGGCATCTCCCTGCCTTCTCTTGACAGGCTAAGAATTCTTCCTGGCCTGACGTGGAGAAATCTGAAGATACCTGGCAAAGCAGCACGTCCAAGAAACGTCCAAGTTGTTATACCCCACCCACAGGCTAAGATCAGCCCTCACCTCGTCCACTTCCCTCTTGATGGAGTCGAAGGTGATGTTGAAGAGCACTTTGAGGATCTCCATGGCTCGCTCAGTCTCCTGGGGAGGCAGGAGCTCAGGGGGCCTCTCTCCAGGGGTCATTCCCAGCGTCAGCTCCAGCGCTTCGGTCAGCAGGTGCACTCCCTGCAGCTCCTGAAACAGCTGCTGGCGCACATCGGCGCGAAGTGCCGTTAGCAAGAAGAGGAGGCGCAAGTCAAAGAACTGGACGTCGTGCGGGAAGCTGCTCTGGCGGTACAGCCCCACTCGCTCTGCGAGCCTCACCACTAGACCCGCCTCTGCCGCCAGCACCTGTGCCACGGGGCTGCTTAACACAAGGTTGCACAGGCACTTAAGGGACTCAAGCACAACATCCATGTCCAGGGGTTCGGGGACCGAGCCCTGGGAGGCGGAGATGCCAGCATAGCAGGCAAGTGCCTGCAGGCTCCGGCGGCTGGTGAATGAGTCCAGGCAGCTGCGGTCCCTAGACAAGATGCGGATGCTCTGCAGCCAGATGATGCGGCGGGAAGGTGGCAGGCCCTGCTCCAGGACCGAGACCAGCAGCTCCGCCAGTCTCTGTGGGCAGGGAGAAGAGCGGTTCCACCAGGCTCCTCTACCTGGGCCACCCGTCCCTGCCCCTCTACCCTTCGTTGAGCACCCACCTTCCTGTCCTCCTGTTGGGCAGCATCAAACGTGAAACTCTGGCAGTTCTGCAAAGAGACCCAGAGGCTCAGAAGGCGCAGGCCCACCGCGGCAGAACCCGGGCTCCGTGGAGAGGGACCTGAGGCCGCAGGCACCGCTCGGAACAGATGGCGCCCCAGCCCCCCACACCAGCCCCCACAGCAACTCCTCAGAGACGTGGCGCTCCTCCCTGCCGCGCTCCCTTCCACCCTCAGCCCCTCGCCACGCTCACCACTCACGCCCCCGCCGCCGGCCACGCGTGCGGACCCCACCCGGCCCCACCTCCTCCCTAAACGTCCCGCGTCCACAACTCCCGCTCACCTCCCGGTTGTATGCGCGAAGAGCCTCCATAACTACGTCCTCCTCCCCCGTCTCCACGGCATCCGCAACCGCCCGGGGCTCCATGGCGGGCCCGGGACCCGGCGCCGGGAAAGCGGGAAGCACCTCGCTTCACGGTTCCCGGCCTCCGTCTGCCCGCCCCGCCCAGGCTCGGCGCACTGGGGTGGCCAAGACCGGGCTTGCGCGGCACCGCGGGGCGGGGCTTGGGAGGCGCGCGGGGGAGACCGGGATGAGGCGTGCGCGGCGCCGCGGGGCGGGGCCTGGGAGGCGCGCGGGGGAGGCCGGGACGAGGCGTGCGCGGCGCCGCGGGGCGGGGCCTGGGAGGCGCGCGGAGAAGGCCGGGACAGGGTGTGCGCGGCGTAGTCTGGGCTGCGCGCGCCTTAAAGTGGCGAGCCCTGGAACAGCCCCCCTCTAGGACCCAAAGGCTTTGCCGCCAAGTGAACTTGGGCTTCAAAATCCGACTCGGTGATCGTCCGACCTCTGGGCCCGAATCGCCCCTGAACCGAGCGGCGAGCCTCGCTTCTTGGGCCGGAATTCCCTGTAGGAGAGGACCTCAGCCCCCCACCCTTCCATCACACGAACACCAACACTCCTCTTGATGCACAGAACGAATGAGATGTCCAGGAGAAAGCCGAGGTGGAAAGGATTTTGCAACCCCGGGACCACTCGGTTTCTAACCAGGCGTTTGAGTGCCTACTGCATGCGAGGAGCCGGGATGCGGGTGAACAGGACCCAAAGGTCCCTGCCTTCGTGCAGCTTATGTGCCAGAGGTGAAGACCAAGAAAAACGGGCAAACGAGACGACTTTAGGCATAGTGTTGTGATCGAATAAGAAAAGGGGCTTGGTGGACTGCAGGGAGACCTGAAGAAGTGCCATTTTTGCTGAGACCGGTTGGTAAGAAGTGAACCAGGAAAGGATCTGAAAGAAGGTCATGGAAAGTAGAAGGAGTGGCCAGTGCAAAGGTGGGAATGGCCGTGGTGGGAGATAGAAACGTCATTATTGTGGCCGAGAGAAAGGGGAGAGTGGGGAGGGGAGGTCAGGATGAAGGCAAAGCCTGGTCATGTGCGGTGACTTCCTTGCTGTTTAAGCAGGCACACCTGTTGGTCTGGCCTGGACTCAGTTTACAACGTGAAAAGCAGAGATGATAAAAGTTCCCATTTCAGTGGATTGTCAGGCAGACTAAATGACACACAGCAAGTGCTCCATTACGTTGGGTGGTAACTTATAGTCCATCCACTGGGCAAGAAGGCTTTGTTGAGTATCTACTTTGTGTCAGGCCCCTTGTCAGTGCCCAGGTGCAAAGTCAAGAAGCACTGGCTCCTACCGTCCCCACTCCCCTTACGCTCCCACTCCTCTTCCTGGTTTCTTGTTTTCTTCGGAGTGCTTCACCCCTGCGACTTCTGCACTGCTCGCTGGTTCCAGGCACTTTCTAGGCACTGATCTCCACTTTGTTCCGTCGGCAGTAACTGGAGCCGGCCTTCGCACCGAGTCCGCTTCTTAGCCGCACCGCAGCCGGGCGGGCCGGGTCGGGCCTCAGGACCCGGGCGGGGTCGCGGCGAGGAGCCTCTCTCGCCTGGGAAAGGGCCCGTGAGCTCTTCACAGTTAGGACCTGAAGCCGCCTTAGGCGGGAATGGTTGCGGGAGTGTTTGTCGGCACCCTAATTGACACTAAAGACACTAACCACCCAGGGGTCCCAAAAGCAAAGGGCTCGCCCCATCCCCAAGCCAAGCTGTGGAAGAAACGTCAGATCCTTCCTTGCCCACTGCCGCACCCCCGCGGCCTGGACCTCGGCCGGAAGTCGGACGGCCTGAGGCGGAAGGGGCGGGACCGGAAGCCACTTCCCGCGAGTGTGCCACGTCAGAGGAGGTTGTGGCCGAGCCGAGCCGGAGACGGATCCCCGGGTCGGAGCTGTACGGGATGGCGGACTGGGCTCGGGGTGAGTGCGGGAGAGCCGAGGCGGATGGCGGCGGGGCCCGCTGGAACCGACGCCGCTGCCCGCAGGAGCCGCCTTTGCCTGCCCCCCGTCCCGCTGAGTGGCCTCGTCCGGGAGACCCTCGGGGCGGGCGGCGACGGGGCAGGGCGGCCGGGCTGCAGCCAGCAGCGCGGTGGAGGAGTCCCTGGGGCCCTGTGGGCGCTCCTGCCCAGCTGCTCCGTGAAGCTGCGGGGTCCGGAGGCCCGCAGTCCCCACCCCTGCGAGATGGTTCTGTCCGGGACCTCGGCCGGGCCGCCTGGTCGACGGGTCCCGGAGGCTAGCCCCCTCGGAGTGGGGGCTGCGCGTGATGAGAGGGCCCAAGCAGGTCGCGTACGGACTCGGGCTCAGGGTGCCCCACTTGCCCCCCGGGAGCCCCTCTTCTCATTTGCCAAGTGGAATGCCGATGCTTGTTTCGCTGGGCTGTTGTGACCTTTAAGGAATTAATGGATACAAGGGGTTGGTAGGACGCTAACGCCTCTAATTTTGGGGTCTGTACACATTCGTGGTTCTTAGGGCTGTGCTCCTATTAGATAAGTCTCATTGAGGTATCTGGGCCAAGGCAAATATGCACTCTGAACTTTGGGGGAGGCAGTTGTCATCTACCCGATAGGATGGTAATTTTAAATCACCAAGCCCAGCCCCTGTCGTGGGCCAGGTCTCAGCAAACACCATGCTCTGGGTGTCAATACAAGGCCCTGTGTGGGGTGCAGAAGTGAGCAGACCTAGGCCCTGCTCTTGGGATCAGTCTCAACCTTTGTTACTAAGGCTTTCCTAAGGCTTTACCAGAGTTCACTGGTTTTCTCTGAGAACAGGTTCTGTGTACGTCGCTGGTGATATCCATGGAGGGATGGTACAGGTTCTGTCACAGAATGTCAGGAAGTGCTGGTTGGACTGAGCCCTTTGGAGGTGCCTACGCATCCCAGCCTGGATGAGTACACAGAACATGTGCTCACGCACACTTGTTTATACAGCCTGTCTTGTGTGTGGAGTCCACGTGTTGGATCCTGGGTTAGGGCGGGACCTGCTCAGTAGACTCAGGAGGGCCCAGTACCTCTGGACACCCGACTGGGCCAGATGGGATTGGAGTGAGAGCCCTGAGGCCACAAAGGGCTGAGGTGCAGGCGTCCAGGGGATGCTCGTGGGTGGATGCATGCCCTCAACCTCTGTCTTTACTTGCAGCTCAGAGCCCCGGCGCTGTGGAGGAGATTCTAGACCGGGAGAACAAGCGGATGGCTGACAGCCTGGCCTCCAAGGTCACCAGGCTCAAATCGGTCAGTGGTGGTCCTCTCCTTTTGCCTCCACCTAGCATCCTGGAGGGGGTATCGGAGGGAGGGTGAAGACCTGGAAGGGTTTCAGGTAGTTCCACCATCCTTGTCCCGTCTGTGGCACACTCACTTGTGTGCGGCCCAGGTGGCATTTGGATCTGCTGACCTCTGCTGGTCTTGCTGGGGGTCAGGTGCTGTCCGCTGTGTTTGTCCTGGCCTGACCCTGCCTCTTCTGTGTTCTGACCAGCTGGCCTTGGACATTGATAGGGACGTGGAAGACCAGAACCAGAGCCTGGGCGGCATGGTAAGGCCCGTGTTTTGTGAGTGTCACGGTCACCTCTGCTCCCCACCGCCTGCTGTGCAGCCCCCACATGTGTGTGTGTTGTGGGGTCGCCGCCCCTGTGTGACGATGATGGGATTCCTTCCTCAGGACACAGATTTCACGAGTGTGACGGGCCTCCTCACGGGGAGCGTGAAGCGCTTTTCCACAATGGCACGGTCTGGGCGAGACAACCGGAAGCTTCTGTGTGGTATGGCCGTGGGCCTGATCGTGGTCTTCTTCATCCTCTCCTACTTCCTGTCGAGGCCAAGGACGTGAGCCAGTGGGAGCTGGCTTCTGCGGGTGCCTCGGGCAAGCATGGTCCGCCTCTGCCTGGCGTCCTGGGCCAGAGAACTTAACGACAAAATACTCCTTTGAAACGACGATTGTGGCTTAGGAGTCTTGTTCCTGTGTGGCTGGGAGCCTCTGACCCAGTGAGCTTGTGTTAGCTGGTCCCATGTGTGCAAGGGGCCCATCTTCATGGGGTAGCCAAGGCCCACTTCCTCTGCCACCTTGGGTGCTAGAAGCCCCAGCAGAGTCAGGTCCAAGCAGAGCAGCTGGGAATCCTGGACACGGTCACCTGTGAACAGCAGCTCTTCCCCTGGCCCTCGAGTTTCTGAACATCTCAAGGCTCTTCTACGCTGTTCTTGTCTGGATAAGGCCACGTCTGGTATTTGAGATGCTTGGAGCTGACGTGGGAAGGGGGTGTGGCGGTGAACCTCAGATCATCGCTGTCACCTTCAGCCGAGTGTTCTCAACCCAGAGATGGCAGTTGCTCCTGCCCAGAGCCGCTCGGCATCCGTGGACCAGTGGAAGTCAGGGGTCCTGCCGAGAGGCCTCTTCCTGCCTTCCAGTCCCACAGCTGAAGCCCGACCCTCAGGGAAGGGCAGGGGTTGTGGATGGAGTTGGGAACTGCAGCCTTCGCTGAAAGCATGGGGCTCACATTCTGGTGATCTCCTGGCCATGTATCCAGGTGCAGAAAGTGATACTTTCTCACGATTCAAGATCTACCCAGAGCACCAGGGATCTACTTCCAGGAGACCAGATCTCTGGAAACAAGTCCATCTGGCATTTCAGAGTCAGGCAGGGTGTGAGGAGGGACTTTCGTGGGTATAGATGGAGGCTTCCAAGTAAGGGCTCTTCATAGGACCTATAGGTCAGTTTCTGAGGGTCAGCGAGCAGTTCCCACCAAGCCTGGCCCTTCCACTGCGGTGTTTGCCCACCTCTCCCTGGGCCCTCAGCGCCCACTCGGTCAGTCCCCTGCTCACTCGAACCTCGAACTGAACCACAGGCCGAGCCAGACCAGTGGCTTCTTACCCCACTGAGACCTCAGTATCCTTGTCTTCACAAAAAACACTTGTAAGAAACGAGTCACCGGCTTGTGTCCTTCCCTGCCCTTGTTCGACCTTCTGGTTTCCTAGTCAGCCCCCCTTACTCCCTGAGGGCTACTGGCTCACCGTCCGCCTCCCCGCACGCTCGTGCCACGCGCGGTCACGCGCGCCAGCCGCACCTGCTGCCCCACGTTGCTGGTCTCTGGCCCCGGGCACCGCGCCTCTGGTGCCGCTGCTGCGCCTACCCTCGTCCTCCGCCTGGCAGGCTGGCTTCACCTCGCACGCTTGCCTTGGTGCCCTCCCTTCCACTGTACCTGCGACTTGAGTGCGCCGTCTCGTCCAGCGTGTGCTTGTGTCTCCCCCGGTGAGACTGCCTTGCTTGTCTCCGTGTCTCTGGGGCTTGGCTGTTTCCCTGTCCTCCTGGACGTTCCTTCGCAGGTCTCTGGTCCTGCCTTGACCCCCAGCGCCCTGTGCGCTGCGGCTTTGGCTTCGCCTGCTTCTCATCTCACACTGAACCTTGTCGCGGGGCTTTGTCCTCCGGTCACCAAGCTCAACAGCTGCTGCCTGTGCAGTGTCTCCATCTGGTTGCCGCAGGCCCTGCAGATACACCCAGACCTGAGCTCCGCGGCCCCCACCTTGTCTGGGTCTGCTAACCTTGCTTCCTGAGAACGTGGCTCAGCCATGGCAGCCTTCCCCCCGCAGATGCTTTTATGTGGTGTTCCCCCTTGTCTTGCCAAGGCAGACCAGGAATTTAGAGTTTGCCTTCAGGGTGGCACACCGGCTGCTGTGTTCTCTCCTCAGGTCTCCGTCTGTGCCTCCCCACTTCTCCACCTCCACGGCTCTTTGCAGCCCTTCCAGCTATTTGGGGGTCTGGGTTCTAGTTTCTTTCTGGTTTACTTTCTTGCTTCCTACTCTCATTGTGTTAGGTGAATTCCTGAAGGGAGCATGGCACCCCTGCTGCCGCTGTGTCGGCAGGGTTTCCTGTGGTGCCTTCCCTGCTCAGCCCTGTACACTGAGCACCTAATCCTGTGGGTAAGTGGGGTTTGCCGAGGTTGATCCCGGAGACCATAAAACAGAAGGACTTGGAGCCTCCCTCTGTGCCAGGTGAGGATGAACTGCCAGGTTCTATCCCATGATTCATGGACAACACATTTAGCAATAAAAATTTGGAATAAAGAGCTTCGTGATGAAGTAAACCCATAGCCTTTGGTGTTTTCATTTCCTTGGGGACTTCAGATAGCTTTGTCTGGAACTGACTCTGCTCCGTAAACTGGCCGTGGGCACCAGTGGTCTGGACTCTGCTGCTTTCCTTCTCCTGGGTCCCTTCTCCCCTCCTCACTCATCCCCTCAGGCGGGCAGACGTGAGCTCGCCGCTTCCTGCCGCTGGACCTTCCTTTGCGCGAGTTTCTGTGACTCAGGTGGGGAAGATGATAGCATTACCTCTTCAGGATTAAAGGGATGCAGGTGAGGTGTTTAGGACAAGTAGCCTGACACGGTCACAGCTGAGGGAGGGTCAGCAGCTGTGCTATGCTTAGTGCAGCTGCAGCCCGCGGTCCCACGGGGGTGACAGGGCTGCCTGCCCAGGGCTAGGGTGAAGGTTAGACTTCATTCCTCAAGGCTGGCCTTGGACTCCAGGGCATCCTCTGGAAATGCCCTTCTTCATCACAGCTCAGACACCCCCTTCCCTGCACAGATCTTATGCTTCCCGTATTATCTTTGATGTTTAACAGATCACCTTCAAATGTAGTCACTTAAAGTTGCAGTAATAGTTTATGTCTCACGGTTACTGTTGGAGTTTGAGACAGAGTGGAGACAGTTGTCTCTGCTCTGTGATGTTAAGGTCTCTGTTTGGAGACAAGAGACTGGCACTGCCACTTGCTGAAGGCTCACACACGTCTATAGGTCATTGCTGGTGTGAGCTGGGGGCCCAGCTGGGTTCACTGTGTTGCCATGTGTTGAGCTTCCTTACAACATGGTGGCTGGTGTGACGGTGAGCAAAGAGAAGAGGGACGGCCAGGCAGAAGCTGTTTTCTTTGTACGTTGCATGGCCTGGCTTCAGAAGTCACATAGCATCACTTTATTCAGGACGGTCACAGGCTCTAGATTCCAGGGGAGGGACACAGACCCCACCTCAGCAGGGGAGAGGCAGTCACACAGGGAGAGGACCACATGGGAAGGGACGAATGCAGGTGTGACCGTCTTTGGAGGATACAGCAAGGCGCGGAGGGCAGCGCTCCAGGCAGAATCAGAAGGGCAGGCATAGCAGCGTCTGATGCTCCTGAGCCCTCCTCTCTGCTCAGACCCCAGGCCCTGGAAGCTAGGGTGGGACCTGACAGGGGCTGGCATGATCGCCTGTGGGGGCCCCTTTCTGGAAAATGTTAATCCTCCCTCAAGGCGAACCATCGCTAACGGAATCCGTGATTTATTGTATATCTGGGCACAGCAGGAAGCACATTTAGCAAATGGGAAAGCATAGAAAAAATAGCTGGTCACAACTGTCCGAGCAAGCATGCTCTGCCCTGCAGGGCCAGGCCGGCTGCAGCCCAGCTGGTAGAGGAGCCGCCCAAAGCCCTCAGCTCGGGGAGTCTGTTGTTGGGGGGACACGATGTGCAGAGGCTTAGCGTGACGGGTGGGGCGGGGCCAGGGCTATTCCACGTCCACGACCAGGGGTGTCATGTAGTCAGAATGCTTGATGCCAAAGGTGACGATCGGGGCGCAGGGCTTGGTCACTGTCACCTGGGAGAGGAGAGGCTGTGAGGGGCCGGCACCCCCGCCCCCGCCCCGCAGGCTCTGCCCTCACTGGGGCCGGGGCTGCTGTACCTCCTAACCCCCCGGCCAAGGTGACCAGCAGGAAGCCCCTCTCAGAGCCTGGCATGTGGTGACACTCGGCAGCGCTCACCGTCACCAGTGTTTGGGGACACTGGGGACACAGAGTCTGCCGGCTGGGGAAGGCTGGTGCTGGAACGCACAGTGTTCTGATGGTGCCTGGCCCCCGTGACCCTTGCAGGCTTACAGGCCCGTCCCCACCCCACCCCTCCGGGCCGTGCTCTTGCCAGACCTTCTCAGGGCTGTGGGCTCCTGGTCCTGGCTTGAGGGTCTTGTCCCCCGGGGGCTCCACTCGGGCAGCCATGGTGTACTGTGGAGCCTTGAACTTGGTCACCTGGACATCGGTCTGGCGGTAGGCTGCGGGACCTGGGGTCTGGGAGGTGAAAGAGGCTCACACAGGCTCGGCCTGCCAGGGCGTGCGACCCCAGAGGGCAGGGGCTGGCATCAGACACTGGGTTTCAGGCCCCAAGTCACTGTGTGTCTGTGTGTCAGGGGACTCTTCTGTCTCCAAACGATGGCCACACCATGTGACAGTACCCCAGTGCTCTGGGGCCCTTCTCTGTGTGGGATGTCACCTTCCCTTCAGCCTCGCCGTGGCAATGACACCCCAGTCTGTGCCAGCCCCAGACTTGTCCCTTCCATGAGTGTGTGTGAGAGAGGACTCTTCCTAGTTGCGGACTCAAGGGCCTTGGGCTGGTGAGGTCAGCGGTGCTGTGATGCCACCTTGCCAGGCTCCCCAGGCTCCCCAAGCTCCCGGGTACACAAGCACCTCAGGGCCTTTGCACTGGCTGTTTCTGCAGCCAGAACCCTCCTCCCCCAAATATGTCCCAGCTTATTTTTCTCCTCTTGTCAGCTTCCTCCTGCATGCCACCATGTCTCACACTGCTCCTCGCCCCTCAGGCAGCACCCCACTCAGGCAGCACCCACACACTGGGTGTTGAGGTGTTCGTCTCTCCTCAGCACCATCGGTCTCCATGCCGAGCCTCGGCCTCTTCATCCTCCTCCACTGTCTGCCCCTCCTCACCTCTGGGATGTAAACCAGTGGGGGTGGGGACAGACGTGTGGCAGGCTCCAAGAGGATGAAGGAGCTGAGAGGCTTCGGGAGGATGGGGGTCAGGCTGGTGGGTCCTAGGTTCTGGGGGAAGGGGCCCGATGGGCCGTCTCTCTAGGGGGTAAGCAGTGCTCTGCCCGAGCCGGGTGACCCTTGCCTTGTACAGGTCGTCGCTGAAGCTGCCCAGCTTGCTGCGGCCCTTGATGGAGAAGGCGGGCTGGGAGGCCTTGCCGACAGTGTGGGGCCCCATCACCACGGGCAGCATGTAGGCAGCGGGGCCTGTCGGGGGCGCAAGTGCCGAGTCTCAGGCTGGACGGAATCCTGTGCCCAGAGTCTCCACCCCCATCAGGCCAGCCCCCCTCACCCGCCCTGCCCGGGATCCTCGACCCGGTCAGCCACAGGCCATCGGGGCTGTGGCGGACCTGGGGTGCTGTCCACTCGGAAGGTCTTGGTTCGGGCAGAAATGGAGTGGCTGGGCGCCGAGTCGAACACATGCTTGGTAGATTTCTCTGGAAAGTAGTGGCCTGCGGGTGGGGGGAGGAACGGTGTGGGTGCTGGGACAGGGAGGACCATCCAGCAGATGCAAACAGGTGCCCGGGCCTGCTCGGGCGGTTCTAGGAAGACCTGCGACGTCGCAGGCCTGGGGCCTCTGGGCCCCAGTGAGTGGCGACCAGGATTGTGCACGGGTGTCCACGATGGAAATGCTGGCTGCAGGGGCTGGGGGGAGGCAGGGGCTGCTTTGAGAAGGAGGGCGAGTCTGACTTGGGCCTGGTGCGGTGACTTTGGCCAAGGAAGGCCCAGGTCAGAGTAGGGCACTAGGGTCTCAGAGGCTGCAGTGGGGTCACAGCTCCACCTCCAGGCCTGATGATATCCCTTCATGAGGAGAAAGGTGGGTCAGGAGGGTGAGGATGGCTGTACCCCTCACACCCCTCACACTGCAGCCAGGCCTGCAGTGGCCACCAGCAGGGTTGGGTGGAGCGGGGCTGGGGCTGGGCCAGAGTCCGTCACCAGGGCCGGGGGTCAGCGTGGTCTTAGTGCAGTAGCGCCCCAGGATGGAGTAGGCGGGGCCGATGTCCTTGCCAGTCCTCAGTATCTTGGGGTTCACGCTGTAGCGGGGCCCCGGGGAGCAGTTCTCTGCCAGGAGCGTGGGGGCCCCGTGGAAGCTGTAGGCCGGTGCACGCAGCTTGTCGGGCGTGTGCTTCACAAAGCCTGTGGGGCAGGGGCTCTGAGCAGCTTGGAGCCAGACCCTGCCCTTCTCCCCCAGACCCCCCATTGACCCCAGAGGGGTTGATGGGCTGGGAGTCAGGGATGAGCCCTGGCCATCCCCGGGCTCCCCGCAGACCTGGCTCCTGCCCCCTCCCAGGCTCCCAAGCGCTTACCTGTGGTGGGTGGAATCAGGTACTTGGGTCCGGGGCTGCTGTAGAGGGCCATGATGGGTCCCCGGGGGCGATGGGGCCTCCAGGTGCCCACCCATACCTCCTCCGCCATGCCTGGCTCTGTCCACGGATGGAAGGGTGACAAGGTGCTAGGAGGCCTGGGCACTCCACCCCCATCACTGCCTCTGCCCCCACTGAGGGGCAGAACTGCAGGCCACAGCCTCCTCAGTGGGGTCTCGAGTTGAGGCCCAGACTTCAGAGCAGTGGGAGATTCTGCCGCACCAACCCGTCCCCCCGCAAGGGGAGGAGCCTCGGAGCCTCGTGGACAAGCCCATGTCTCTTTCAGCGCTCACGGGCCACCCCACAGTGGCTCTGAGGGGGTCTGCGCAGGTGCTTCCCACTCAGAGGACCCTGGACGTGACTGGGCAAGGAGCAGTGGGCAAACGGGGGGAACTTCTGGGATGAGACTGTGCCGTGGGCTGAGCAGGGGTCTGCTCTGGAGGGGCCCTCACCTCCTTAGTCCAGGAGCAATGCTCAGAGCAACCTATGGACCGAGCCTTCTCAGAGGCAATCCCGTCGCACCGGCCTCGGTGCCAGGGAGTCCCAGAAAAGGAGCATGGCGAGGAAGGCCTCTCCTTCTCTCTCCTCTCCCCCTGGGGGCTTCGAGAATTGGGGAAGGGGCCCGGCCCCTGAGCTCTAGAATGTGGCTCTGTGGGGTGGTGGGTTCTAGATCACTGTCCGTGTGATGGAGACAATGACCTCAGCCCGTGGAACCCGCCCCCCCGCCCATGCCTGGCTCGGGACCGGGTCTTTGCTCCTTGTTGCAGGGTGCAGGCCAGAGGCGCAGAGGGCAGGAAGGGGACAACTAGGTCCTGGACTAGGACAGTGAGGCCATGGGACCCAGAGTCCGAGTGGCCGAGGAGTAAGGTCCTCAGGGGCAGAGCTGAACCTCCTCAGTCCTGCCCCCGGGGAAGGACTGAGCTGGGGAAACTGAGGCACAAGAAGGCTCTGGCTGTTGGGGATGCTGGGATCCAGGGTGCAGTAGGGCTGCCCTGGTTTGGGGTGGGGGCAGGAGTTGGCATCGGAAGCTGCTGCTCTGCTGAGGGCCCTTTCCCTGACCCTGCTCTCCCTCCTGCATCATGCTGGCTGTGCCCGCCCGTCGGACCCTGAGTGTCCTCCTTAGCATGTCCTTCTTGGGGCTCCGGCTGGGGCTCCGTCTCTTTCCTTGGGTGACTTCTCAATCCCCTGGACCCGTGTCATGTGTATATTGTGCACATTTATTGTCTCAAAATGATAACCTTCAGATGCAGAGCGCCAGCACCCAGCCTCTTCCCCCAGCCCTGGCCGCTTCCTCTCTCTGGGGCTCTTTGCCCTTCCCCGCTCTGAGCCCCTGCCCCCGACCTCTGCCTCCGCAGGCCTTCTTGTGTCCTGATGCCTCCCTGCATCTACATGTCTCGCCTATCTGTCTGTCTTGCTTTGTCCACCTGCCTACAAGGGCCTCTGCCTGGATTTCTGTTGGTGGGTCTGCCCTCTGTGTGGGGTTACTTAGACGTGTGTGCTCCGCTCACATGATCCTATGTGTGAGCCTGTAGTTGTGTGCCTGAGGGTGGGGAGAGACAGGAGCCGGAGGCTGAGCTGCAGGAGGCTTTGTTGATTGGATGGCTTGAGGATAAATTCATGCACAGGGAAGTGGAAGGGGTGTCGTCGTCATGGTTGCCTGTGCGGCTGGTCCTACGGCTGCTTGGAGCCACATCTGGGGTCCACTAGGCATCGTCCTGACTGCCCAGCACTTGCACCCGGAAGGCAGACACGTGTGGGCCAAGAGGCCTGGGGTTCCCGTGCCCGGTAATGAGTAACTAGAGAGCCACGGCTCCATCAGGCAAACAGGCCCGGGCCAGCCTCTGGGGGGATGGTGGGCTCTGGACATGGCAGCAGGTCCCCTTCCAGCAGCTGGGGAAGCGGGGTGTGCACATGTGTGTTTGCATTTGTGTGTGTGTCAGGTGTGAGCGTGTGCGTATGCATGTATGTGCATGTAGGGGGAGGCTGAGGGCTGCTCTGCAGGCAATGAGGTCTGGGATGTCCACCCCTGCTGGCTGAGGCAGGTCAGGGTGTCTGTGGGGTGCTGGGGTACGGGGTTGCTGCACTGGGTGGATGATGAGGGGCTATGGCATTTGGTGGAGGGCCTGAGGAGTAGGACTGTGGGTCCTGCTAGGGCTGCAGGCCTTTAGGGAGTGGGGTGCCTCCCTGGCCACGGTACCAGCAGCTTGACCAGCTCCGCCTTGTGCATGGGCTGCAGGCCATGTGTGCAGGACTTGAGCTTGGTTACCGCTGCCTTGGCATCTGTACTGACGTCGTACTTGCCCAGGGGCCCCTCACAGAGCTCCTCTGCAGATCCCACCAGCAGCGTTTGCAGGAAGTCGATGAAAAACTCGTTGTTGTCCTCCCCCGTGGCCAGTCCTGTGTTGGGATGAGATGAGGCCAGGTCAGGACTCCTTCCAGCTCCACCCCCAGACCTCCCACCTCTAACCTCAGCGGTCTCCAGACCTTCCCCATCAATGTCCCCCTCACCTGCCCCAGATCTTCCTCCAAAACATCCCTCAGCTCCACCTGCCCGCAGACCCCTCCCGTCACCCTAACCTCAGCGGCCTCTTTCCGCTCTGGGTTCCCTAGCGTCACTGAGGAAGGAAAGCCAAGCCTCTGACTCAGTGGGAATTTCCCCTCCGTGTGAGGTTGGCTGACCTGGAGCTTGGATCGGGGTCAGGGTCAGCCTGGGCTGGGCTGGGTTGGTGACATTGGGCTTGGTGGTGACATAGGGGCTGGGAGAGAGGTTGAGCTGGGCTGGGGTTGGGGTAGGGTTGCCTGGGGACTGGGGTCGCCAAGGGCAACAGGGTCATTGTCCACATCTGTGTTCTGTGATGGAGGTGGGTTGGGGTGCCTGGGAAGGTGGGCACCAATCACTGCGGGGCCCAGTGCCTGGATTTCTAGCTTCCCACGTTCCCGCCCATTTCCCCCGACACCAGCCCCCCGAATGTGCTAGAAGCACCTGTCAGCGCACAGACTCAGCACGGGTGCCCAGCAAGGAGAGCGCCACTAGCAGGAGGGCGCCGCCCCCCTTCATGGCGGACGCGCAGGCTCCTCAGGAGCTGCCTGGGCCTGCTTTACGCCTCACAGGCACCTGTCCTGGGGGCGGGTCCGACCTGCCCATCAGGACCCAGCCAGTGCGAGCAGCGGTGGGGCAGCCGAGGGTGTGTCCTCTCCCCCTGCCCAGCAGTGGTTGCCGAGCAGCAAGGGGCCTGGGGTGCTGTGTGAGGGGTGCTTGGCAAACGTTTGGGGTGAGTGGACAGAGGTAAGGGGGCAACGGGAGCCTGGTCAGCAAGGAAGGGTGGTGTGGCTGGGGATGCTGAGGGCCTCTAGCCTCGCTTGGCTTGTGGCTGAGAGTGGCAGGCTCTTGGGCTAGGCCCAGGCCTTTCTTTTGGGGTAGGAATCCCCCCTCCACTCAGCATGCTTTGTGGGCCAGCGCTGGGCTCTGATCCCTGAGACAGCCTGGAGGTCTCCACTGGGGCAGGGGTGGGGGACTTCCTGGGGTCTGCAGATCTGGGCGGTAGGAGATGGGCCCAGGGCCACGGGAGGCCCGAAGTGGGCAGCAGCCTCCAGGGGATGGAGGGTGGGCCTGAGAGTGACTGAGGGGTGAGGAGCTGGGCCATCTCTGGGACCTGGTGGGATTACAGTCACTTGCAGGAAGTGAGGAGGGGCTGCAGTGTGACTCAGCTTCCTTCTGTGGTCATCCAGCCTGGGGAAGTCTAGGATCTGGGGGAGACAGTCCAGTGCTATGATGGAGAAAGGGGGCTGCAACACCTGGGCCCATAACTAGATGGCCCCTAGAGCAGTGCTGCAGTCTGGCCCTTATGCTGTGGGCCCTCTTCTCCTGTCCCATGCTGCCACCTGGTGGCCAATGGCATCCTGCAGGACAGGCCCACTCTCCACAGGGTCCCTGTGAGGATCCAGGGTTTCAGGCCCTACCTGGCCCCCGGGGGCTCCTCATTCAGTACTGACACCTCCAGACCAACCTTGTCCGGATTGGTTACCCTGCCTCTGCTTGTCACCCTGCCCCTCACTTGCCCCTAGCTGTCCCTGAGTGTGTCACAGACCACAGACCCTTGTCCTGTATCCTCTGAGCACTCAGAGCTTCTCATCCACTTGAGTGTCTGTTTATAACAAATAGTCTGTAGTCCCCTTTGCTAACATGAAATGAAATCCATGGGCGATATAACCTACTTCTGCTCACAATTCCAAGAATATAGGAGAAATAACGTGTAATGAGGTCATCTGTAACAAAACAATGTGGCTTCATGAGTGAGACTGCTTTCGGCAAATTTGAGCCCCTCCCCGTCCCCAAAGGCCCAGGGGGTTCTGGTCAGTGGGACAGGCCTTGCTCTGATTATGCTTTGATGGACCCACATCATCTTCTTTAACTTAGTGGTCCTCTGGCTGCTTGCTGGGCCACCTGGAGAGATGTTTAAAGGCGCTGTCCCTGGGCTGTGACATAGTCCAGACCCATGGAAGCAGGGTTCCGGGGGCAGGGCCTGGATATCTGCCCTTCTGAATCCCTCCGGCCCCAGTGGAGACCGTCCGCCCAGCATTTATTCCCCTTCCTCTGCACTTTTCTCCCAGTCTCCAGAGTGCTGTGTGTTGGTTTGATATGATTTCAAATGCACTTTTTTATGACTTGAGTGAAGTTGTTTTAATCCACCAGTTGTTTTATGACCAAGACCAAAATCAGTTTTTTTTGGAAGAAAAGTTGTTTTGATTTAAGAATGAAGTGAGCTGTGTCAGGGTCACTCCCTAGCAACAGGGCACTGGAAGCCGGCTCCCGGCTGGTTAAGCCGACTCTCTCAAGAATCTCACAGAAGAGGTACACCTCGACTAGATGTGGACTTTATTCCTGTCACCTTCCTGTCACTGTTGTGTGGGACAACAGTGTAATTCACCTGTCGCTTGTTTGGATTATGTTATTTCTTTATTGGCTTATTGTAAAGAGACATTATCCTGTATGCTACTGGCTTGAGCAGTTATTGTAACTCCCGCCGTGAACCTGTGTTGAATAAACTATTG